AAGATCAAAACTTGATCAAATCCAAGAACTGGAGATCGAACAGGGTAGGGCAACAAGAGTAGGAAGAAAAAGAACTGAAGGCAATATCAGTCTAACTGAGTTGTCTTCTCTCTGTGTTGTGTTTTTGGTGTCTTTTTCATGTTCACCATGCTCTCTATTAATGACCTTAAAGAGACAACCTCTTAATCTGATTAGGAGTCTTCTGATCCAAATCTTTATTTGAATCTAAACTCTTTAAGTGATAAGGATAATCCCTTATCTTATATACAGTTAAAGATCAGCTTATTCCTAATCAAAGTAGGAGTTTCTTGATCCAAATCTTTATTTGGATCTGGACTCTTTAAGTGGATAAGAGTTATCCTCTTACCCTTATTTGCTGATCTAAACCCAGATTTTCCCCTATTTAATTAATCCAATTAACCTAGTTCGAAATGGGCTTTTAGCCCCATTAAGCTTTCAGGCTCATTACCTTTTAATGCTGGCTAGCTTGGCTCTCTTTGTATGGCGTGGGACCCTAACATTGATCTACACATCAGCCACATGGGTTCAGCCTAGCCTCTATTACAAGGCCTAGCCGAATTCATTGTTGAATACAATGAACCCCTGAGTCCATCACCATGGGCTCTTAATGGGCCCAACATTTACATTAAACGGTCCTTGTGTCCAGCCATCTTATGAATGCCCAAGAACTGTGGGCAGAGATGCAAGATTAACCCATCAGGTATAACCCTCAATGGTCTTACACTTAACCTCTCAGCCCTTAATGATCAAACACTGCCCGATAAGAGAGGACCTCTCCCTCGGCTGCACTCTCTACTCACATGGATTCCGGGAATTAAAACCTTTTGCAAACAATTTGAAACCATAATATACATAAGTATATCTCTATATAAATATATTTTGCAAAACCAAATTTCAAACACATTTGAAATCCACTACCAGCAGTTTAGGTTTCCATCAGAGAGAGTGCATTTTCCCGATCATTCACTTTGTCCGACAAAAGGGATGATCATGTCACTATAATCACCCACTCAGATGAATTCTCAAATTCTCCCAACATACCTAGGTTTTGACCCCCTCTAAGGATCTCACTGATTGGCACATTAAAGACAGCCCAATCCGACACCTAGTGTAGTATCATAATCGAGTCTAGGGGTCAAGTGTAACATTCAAGAAAACTCACACTGCATGTATCTCATGTCTCACCCTAGCAACTGAGACAAACCACCCCAACCAACTTGGCAGTACACAAGTGTCAGCCTTGGCAGGATAAATCTCCCCATATCTATTCAACAATTGTTAAGATTCTAAACTAACACGAGTCTCATATGTATCCAGTTTAAGGGTATTACATAGAAACATACCACAATAACATGAATCAAATATGTACTTTATTCATTTACAATAAATGTCATAATGTACATCATGCTGATTGGAGCTAAGGGCATACATTGTCTAACAGTACCAATTTGGTATCCTCTGTATTCTGATGGTCTAAGTGATCACTATGCACCTACAATGTTTCTTTTGTTTATATCTACAATTCTTTCTTTTTTGTATGTTAGGTTCACATCTCTTTTGTTTATATCTCTCAATTTGAACAAATAATATTGTTGAAAAACTCAACAAGATAAGTTAGAGAAGGCAATTGACTTCAATGGTTTGGTTCACCAAAGTTCCTTGTATTTATAGAGTTCACAAGAGTCTAATTTACATAGGTCTCATACAAGATAAGATTAGTAAGAGTAGAGTACAACTAGAGAGATCATGTTAATCTAAAAATACAAGACATGGCTATCTCTTAGTATCCTTATCCAAGTTAGATCTAGAATTGCTATCCAAGTTAGATCTAGATCTGAATACATGGTTATCTCCAATATGCCCCCTCAAGCTGAATGGCATCACGTGAAGCTTGGACCTAAGTAGAGCAAAGCGTGATTTATCCAGCAATTTTATGAAGACATCAACAATTTGATCTTTAGAATAGATGCACCAAATGGATAGTTGGTTGCATAAGCAAAGATCGCGGAGGAAATGGAACTGAACTTCAATGACTATATTGGAAAGTGATCTAAATTCAGATTCATTGCTGGAGAAAGTAACAGTGTGTTGCTTTTTGGAACTCCAACTAATGAGATTATCACCCAAGTAAACTGCAAAGCCTCTTGTAGAATGGCGATCATCTAGACAGCTGGCCCAGTCAGCATCTATGAAAGCATTGAGGTGTAAGGAGGTGGAGGATAAAAAACATAGGCCATGATCAAGTGTACCCTTTAGATAACGGAGGATACATTTGATGGCAGACCAATGTTCATCAGTCAGAGACTATAGAAACTAACAAACCTTGTTGACAGAAAAGGAGATATCAAGTCGAGTTAGAGTGATGTATTGCAATGCATCGATGACACTTCGGTACTCTGAGGGATTTGAGAGAGGACATCCAAAATTTCAACTTAATCGTGTAGAGGCCGCCATAGGAGAGTTGTAAAGTTTAGCCCCATCGAACTTGGTCCATTGTAATAAGTCTAGAATGTAGCATTTCTGGGATAGATGAACTCCATGAGGACAAAACTAAGCTTTTACAACAAGAAAATAGTGCAAAGGTCCAAGATCTTTCACAGGAAAAACTATATAGAGCTTCTAAAGCAGAGAGGTAATAGTTGAAGAAGAGTTCCCAGTAATAATGATGTCATCAACATAGACTACTATGTACAATGTTGTGGAGTTATGCTTGTAGATGAATAATAAGGGATCAACAACTAAGTTTCGAAAGCCCAATTCAAGAAGTGTCGAGGTCAGTCGAGAATACCATACGCGTGGGGCTTGCCGTTGACCATAGGAGGAGTGTTTGGTCAATCTTGGATAGGAAGTCACTAGAGTCTACACCATAGGAGGAGTGTCATGTGTAGTTAAAGGAACATTCAAATAAAAGCCAGTCTCAACATGTGGTGGAGAGGTGTAAGCACCTGTATCCCTTGTGAGAATGTCTATAGCCATGAAAAATGCTTTGCAAGGAAAGAAACTGAAGCTTGTGCACATTGAATGGGCATAACAAGGGATAACATGCACAGCCAAAACACCGCAACATAGAATAATCTAGAGCTCTATGAAAAAAAAAACTTTTGAAATGGAGAACCTTGCAAGGTAGGAGAAGGGAGCCAATTGATCAAGTAAACGATCATTTCAGATGCATCGACCCAGAAGGAGAAAGGTAGCTTGGGGGAAGCCAATAGAGATAAGGTGGATTCAATAATGTGTCGATGCTTTCCTTTCAACTACACCATTCTACTCATGTGTGTGTGGGCAGGACAATTGGTGAGCAATCCCCTGAGAATCAAGATAAGAAGAGAGTTTACGATACTCTCCTTCCCAGTCAGATTGAAAAGAACAAATTTTGGTATTAAATAATAAATCAACATGTCTTTTAAATTTCAAGAATACATCAAAAACATCAGATTTTCGTGCCAAGGGATAGATCCAAGAAAATTTAGAAAATTCATCAAGAAATAACACATAATAAGAGAATTCATTATTAGACTTAATTATAGGGATGGTCCCAAAGGGACTCTGAGACCTATGTGAAGAAGATGGTAAAGACAATCTATGACTTTTGCCCATTTGACATGACTCACAGACTAATGAACTAGATTTTTTACTAGAATAAGGTAAACCAAAATGAGAGATAACTTGTTGAACAATACGAAGTGCTACATGACCAAGACGCTGATGCCAACATTGATGAAAGGTTCGTTCACCCACAAGAGCAGATGGTGCAGTTGTTAAAGCCTGTGCAATGGCAGTTGTGGATGGAAAACAATATAACCCTCCTCTACTGACTACTCGAAGTAGGATATTCCCCGTATAATCCTTCACAAAGCAACAATCTTGATGAAACTCAAAAGATATATCATTATCCTTTGTGGACTTGCTTATTGATTTCAGGAACATTACATATATCATCAAAGTAAAAGCATGCTGATTGAAATTTAGAAAAGAAGAGCTAGTATGTTTAATTCGCAAACCTTGGCCATTACCCACTCTGACTTGGTTTAAACTCATATATTCTTATTGATTTTGAATATTTTTAGCATCATATGTCATATGATGGATTGCTCCAAAATTTGGATACCACATAGGATCAAACGACTGATTACTGTTGAATGATGGATTCGTGAGAATGTTGTTGTAGGCCACCAGTTCATAGCTAGTATCATTACTGTTTCCAAACACATATTTATCTTTTTTGTAGGTTAGAGCACCATGTCCCAGTTTGTTGTAGATTTGACAAATAATAGTAGATGGTTTACCATGACCACCATTGAAGAACTGGGGATGATTATTAAAATTTTGTTGAGGCTGAAAGTTTTGAAAATTTTGTTGTCCTCTCCCTTGGCCTCGACCACGATTGTACATATTCTGGGGTGCTCGATTCGGCTGGTATGCTAGATGTTGAAAACTTGGGTTATATTTTGATTTAACTCTGGCTACAGTAGCAGCTAGAGAGGTACTTGAGTCAGACTAAATCTGCCCTTGTTCTTTGAGGCAGTTCTCGTGATTAAGAAGAGAACCAATTACATCATGAATACCAAGACTATCTACATATGGTTTGTTAGTTATAGCAGTAACTACAGTTTCATATTCACTTCCCAGACCAGCTAAAATATGCAAAACCAAATCAGATTTGAGAACCGATTCTGAGACGGTAGATAAACTATTACCTATCGACTTTGCTTTTTGAATATAAGTAGTAATAAACAATGAACCTTTCTTTAAACTCTGCAATTGTCTTCTAAGTTGTAAAATACAAGATCTAGCATAGGTGGAATAAGACTTGAGAGCCATGGTTCCTTGAGTGCCTTGGTTGTTTGAGCCACTATCTTCATTGATTCAGTTGGCGTTTCTTCCTTGAGAGCCATCCATCTCCATTGATTCTAATACCAAGTTTGAACAAATAATAATGTCGAGAAACACAACAAGATAAGTTAGAGAAGACAATTGAGTTCAGTGGTTTGGTTCACCGAAGTTGTATTTATAGAATCCATAAGAGTCTGGTTTACATAGGTTTCATACAAATAAGATTAGTAAGAGTAGAGTACAACTAGAGAGATCATGTTAATCTCAAAATACAAGAGATGGCTATCTCTTAGTATCCTTATCCAAGTTAGATTTGAAACTGGTATCCAAGTTAGATCTGGAACTGAATATGTGGTTATCTGCAATACTCTTTAATTTTGCTAAGGAAGGTTATTGATTTCTCACACCTTGGCAGTGTGATAGCTTATGGACTCTGAGGTGCGAATTTCATCTCTCACTAAACCTTAAATTTCTAGATCATGGTGGCCTGTATCTCTTACATGGCTCTTAGTATCCCTTATAAGTGAGGGAATTTAATCTAACGGTTATGATCAGTGATTTAGTACCCAGCTACTTGGGCCTCCTTATACTATGTGAACAGAATTCCGATTAGCTGAAGGCCATGGCTGTTTTTTTGGTAAACAAAAGACGAAGGCTGTTGTGTAGAGTGTATGATAATATTCCACGCCAGTAATAAATTCATTGGCCCCATTATCAAAGGTGCGGGTCCCATGTAGCCCGCGTTCACCTAATCCTTCCTCAAATAAAACACCGTTTTTTCGCTTGTCATAGCATCAAGTACGAATGTCTCAACAAGGTATTTCATCAGCATCAAGCACCAATTATTTCTGGCTTCTTGTTTGTTGACTCACTTTTATTCCTTTCCTTTTGTTCCCAAAACCCTGAAACATAAATGTGGGCATGCTTTGTCTACATTCTTCACTCATGTTTCTATCAAAATACTAACCAAGAAAGAAGGGGAAAAAAAGAAATTTAGTGAGGGATACGAACTCTTTAAAATAATCACCACTCATTTGAAATCTCCCCCCTCCACAGAGAAAGAGAGATCACCACCACTAACATATACGCCTTATAATGATTGAAGGTAGGAAGATATCATAGCTCCCATACTAGATGAAGTTGGTTTAATTCCTTCACCAGAAATCTGTGCTTCAACGTGATCATCCCAAATCAGAAAGCCTGGGCACTGATGGGGGTCGATCCATCCGCTCAATTCCTGCTGTTGTATCTCACTGAAATTCTGCCTCTGTAAGCATTCGAAGTTGATCTCTCCATCAACATTCATACTACATTCTTGGACCTCCATGGGCACCATACTTTCTATACTCTCCGTCAATGGTGGCAAACAATTCGACTGTGTACCACTTGTAAATGATGCAGCGGGTGGAGGAAGAAATGCTTCAACTCCATGAAGGTTTAGGTGCCAAGAATCAGAATTTAGGCCTGTAGCTTCATGGAAAATATCAGCTCGGGCGTTGCCACTGCCGAGCCCATCGACTGTACCAGTGTCAAACATGAAAAGGGGGCAAGAAGAAGAAAACACTCTTTCTTCAATCGGTGCTTTTATTGTAGCCAAATCTTGATTGACTGTGTCTAGTTGATTCCATGTATAACCCGATTGGACAAACTTAACATTGGATGGAACCATTGCTGGGGTTGCTGAAGGCTTCCGTATCTTCTTCTTAATCCACGAATTCCAGTAATTCTTTATTTCATTGTCCGTTCTCCCAGGCAAGTGGCTTGCTATGTGAGCCCACCTACAGAACCATCGTGCAGGTTACAGAAAGCAACATTTAATTACTGAACAATGGTAGAATCAAGCCAAAGAAGTAATACAACTGCATTTTTTAGCATAGGTTGATCACTAATGCTATGTTCGGTTTGAAAGAAAAAGTAGGGAAGCCTTTACAAACATTGTATAGGTTTCCTACCTTTTTTCCTTCAAACCAAACATAACTTAAGAATTTCATGCCCCAAACAAGTTGGTAGATAGCCATTAAAAAATGTCGACCAAAATTCTCTTGAAAAGTGGAAAAGAAAAGAGAGAAAACAGAAAGAGTATATGGAGTTGCTTGAACCTGTTCCCCACAAGACCGTGAAGGCTGATGATCAGCTTCTCCTCCTCCGGTGTAAATCTTCCTCGTTTGATGTCGGGCCTCAGGTAATTGATCCATCTCAAGCGACAGCTTTTACCACATCTTTGAAGCCCTACACAACACGAACCTGTTAGAGAGAGAGAGAGAGAGAGAGAGAGAGAGAAAGGAGGGAGGATACCTGCTTTCTCAGGAACTTCACTCCAGCATCCATAGCCATGGGCATTTATGTACTGAATGAGATTTTCATCTTCTTCAGGAGACCAAAGCCCCCTCTTAACCTTCTGTTGGTTGCAGCATGAATGGTGACCCATAGCTTCTATTGCCCTGCTTTTCTCTTTCTCTGTTTGAATGGTACAGTATGCAGTGGCGGGGAAGAGCTGATTCTTCTCCTTTTAAAAGCAAAAGCAGTTCCAAGTTCGTAATAATGGGCCCAATCCATGAGGGACCAACGTCTAACCCTGAAACGACATGCCATCAACTTCTCTCCAGTCTCTACGTAGACTTGTATTACGTAACCAACTTCACGTACCCGAGCCATGTCGACGTCACTCTATAATGAGCCCCAATACCATCTCCGTCTTTCTCTCGACCTCTGTAGTCGGGTAAGGGAGAGAGAAAGACAGAGAAAGAGAGAGATTGATTGATTAATTAAAGATGGTGCAAATACGGTAGGTATTTAACAACGCCAACCATTGTATGGTGGAGAGAGAGCATCCACAGTCTGTCGATAAACGTTTCTCTCTTTCTTGCTCCGCAATCTGTTCATAAAACTTGGTCTAGTCAATAAAGGTGCTCAACCTTAATTGGCGAGGCTAAAAGTAGGTCGAAGCGTGAGAATATCTGGTCTTGAAGGCCATCATTTTAGGCTTGTCCCCATAAGATGCTAAGATGCAAAACGATGGTTCTCTAATGCTAGTTAGCATTTTCCTTCTCGATCTTATTGAAGGAAAACAATTATAGGTTAGCAAAATGTTTCAGTCGGGTTAAGATCACAAGATTTGAAACCCAGATAGGATTCAATCTTATCCAGAATTTCAGACAACCGTTTATTGCTTAACTAGCAAACAAGGCAAGGCAAGAAAAACATAAGTTAACCAAATTGTCTATACATGTGATGGTTTGTCCTACCAACCGGTAGCTTTTTGACACTCAAGATCTCCAAGGTGAGTTCCATTATGGATTGAGTCCTGCCTCTTGTAGTGTAACATACGTGCCAAAAACAAAACTAATAAGTACCCTATAGTGGGTCCTCTAGAGTTTAGTTGGGTCTATCAAAGCATGCGGCCATGGAGAAATTCAACCTGTGAAGTACACATATCAACTGCTACAATAATACAAAGCACCCAAAAGCGACTATTCTGGAAGAAACACACTTTCATTTTGCTTTAATTTGGATGAACGCCTTTTTTTTCTTTGGTTTTTACATATTATGAGATTAGATTATTTTTTTCTTTTGAATTTTCTTTAGGAAATCTTCACTAAAATCCATCTCACAAAATTTTATTTATTGGTACAATTATAATAGATTATAACTTTCAAAACCCCACTGACTGAAATTATAGGTAGAAATTACATGCATTGATATCCAATGCTTTTGTTCACTCCGTTATGTTCATTAACTGAAATACAGTAATTAGGAAATAGGAGGTTGCACAAAGTTGGGTGTGGCATTGGTTAGTGTTGTCTAGAATGGAAAATTTTCACCGAAACCCACCTCTCAAATTTTTATTTGTTAATAAAATTACAATAAATTATAACTTTCAAAACTCCACTCATGACACTGTACCCTTCTATTGACATCAACTCAATAAAGATTTATTAGGTGGGGTAAATCAAGATCCTCCTTTTCTTCATTCATATATAGTTAGAAATTACATGCATTGATGCATTGGTATCCAGTGCTTTTTTTTTTTCACTCCATTCTGTTCATTATATGAAAAATAGAGTAATTAGGAAATAGAAATTAACTACAATAAATTTGGGTGTGGTACTTATTAGTGTTGTCTAGAATAGTTTTCCCAATGCTTTTAATACATACGCAGATATATAAATAGATTGATGTTGAAATTGCAAACGATCCCTTCTGTTGATTGGTGCAAATAATTCACCAGATTGATGTAAAGATGAAGAGTGACGTTTGCTTGGATGCATCGCAAGCTAACTTCAAAAATATTAATAAACTAACAAATCAATTATTATAAGTGGTTCTTGTTAAGACTGTTTGTAAAAGGAGAAACGATGATACTTACCTTTAGGGAGGAGCATTGAAGTGGAATTTGGACCTACAAGTGCTTGAGTTTTAATTATATTAACGATAAAAATGGAACATTTCCCTTTGAAGAATGGTTGGTTGAGTAATTTAGTCATAGATGGGCTATCTCTACCTTACACTCCTTCGTTGCCCTTCAATTATATTTGGCTCTCCTCATCCTCCATATAATGTTTTTTTTAGGCCCTGTTTGTTGTTTGGTAAGTTATTTATCCCGATAAATACAATTATCTGGATAAGTTTTTTATGGGAAACACTTATTCGGGTAAGTGTATTTACACATGTTCTTTTATTTTCTAGGTAAATAAGGCAATTACCATTTTATCCATAAAAATCTATTATTAAAAGGGGCATTTTTGTCCCATTCAAGTGTTAACAATTTTCCCCCTAGGTGGAAAAGTTATTTACCCACCTAAGAGATGGGTATCGTTTACCCGGAAAATAAACTTTCCCTGGTCCCCATATAAATATGAAAAATGAACATGGGGTTCTTGGTCAATGGGAACCAAAATCCCATTGACCAATTTTCCCCCTCTCAAAATCCAAAAAAAGAATACCCCCTTACAGTATAGAAATGAGATAAACTTTGTTACTGCCAACTCTGCCCAAATAATCCCCAATTCAAGTATGGCCAGCCGATGGACCCCCTTAGTAAGATTCAAATCCTTGTCACAAGACATGAATCCAAATAGTCAAGACCATGGACATGTAGTGAGAAGGGATTTCCTATAAGCCAAAATTGTGCAAGTACACTAAGAGCATGGCATCCAGTTATACATTGAAAATATCTCTTCATGAATTGAAGTTGTAGTGGTTACACTCTTCTAGCCCTAAGAATTATAGGTATGGCTGATATGTTCATACGCCAAAACAATAAAATTAACTCAATTTCTGTATACAATGGCCCTGATGAAGAAATAAAGAAAGAAATTTAGTTCCTCTTCCACAAGCCCTCTGCACGGATTCACCTTTCCTCTCCTCATGGTAGTTATTTAGCCGATCTTGTTGGAAAAATGTAGTCACTGAAAATTTTGGAAGAGAAGCTCTGAGGCGCATCTGAAAACACTGTCTTTAGAACGTTATTTTACCCCAATCAGTTTCACTGAGTTTGTTGTTGGGTTACAGGCGAATCCGTTCCCAAGATATAACAGAGCATTGGGCGAGAATCTACAACTAGCAAAGTTGAAGAGTCTCCGAAGAAACCTTCTGTGAGACTGTAACAGACCGGACTGAGAGAGAGAGAGAAAGTGGATTTCGAAAAATGTGTGTTTGAGAAGTCTGTTTCATGTTCCTTAAATAGTTTATGAAGAGGTATGAAGAAAAAGTAGGTGCTGGTTCAAAGAAGGCACCTTGAACAGTCACAATTTCAAACATTGTGACTGTTTAAAAGATAGTTAATTAACTGTTAACTTTGAATTGTGCATCTTGATCACACCCAATCGAATCATGACCGTTGATCTCATCAACGATGATCAATGGTCAACATCGCACCAAAACCAAAGCCGCCCACATGCGGGTGCATGCGAAGTGCGAGCAAAGTGTGCCTCTAAAGCACCTCACTTTGTCGCACACACATGTGCATGCGCATTACGCGGTATCAAACCTCCATACTCTCTACTATTTCTAAGGAGTGTAAATCAGCTCCAATTAAAATATTAAAAACAAATCTTATAATCTTCCAATGTGGGACAAATTCAAAACTAGATTTTGTAAGAGAAAAGCTAATTTTTCAAATAAGTGTGCAGGTGCAACTTCTCATGTAATTGACCAATCAAACCCAAACCCATTGGGTTTAATCTCTTATGAGATTAAAATCTAATAGATCCTTCTAATAAAAAACACAGATTAATGGCCTTAAGTCTCTTTTGTGGATCCTTTTAACATCCATCTCCATACTGAGTTTGAAATTTCTTAATGGGATGTTGGACTGTTTTGACATTCGAATGTCTTTACTCTACTTAGTACTTCCAATGGATGGTGAAAAATATTATAATCGGCGGTGGTATTGGTAAAGAAGAGAGTTAAGGCTAAACGGCCTCTCCATTGTAGTCTAGAGATTGTGGCTTGGTTCAAATAGAAGGTGACTTTAAATTCATCTGAAAAGGTAGTTGAATTTCATTGCAGGTTCAAGGTTAGGGCTGCAACTTGGGCCAGGCTGAACCAAGTTGAAAAAAATCGGATTGGATTAGATTGGGTTAGAGTAAATCCTTAGCCAATCCAAATTCAATAACTGTGTCCTTTTACATATAATAATACTAAAATTGAATTTTCTCAGATAAGTCGAAGCAACTAAACCAACCCAAAAATTTTCAATTGGGTTATCAAGCTTAAAGTTGGAGGTTGGGTTGGATTAAGATTGACCTTAACAAGACCTGATTTTCACCTTATTCAACGACAATGGCCCACATGATTAAATGTGTGCTTCGGATGCTCCCTGTATTTTTTTATAAGATAAGATTGTTCCCTAGTTACTCTCCTTTATTTATTAATTTAAATTTTAATCATGCATTTTTTTTAAGGTTGCGTTTGCAAACAATGCAAATATGTGTGAGTGCAAATAGGTAGTGTAAAACAGTCTATATAAATTGTAAAATTGGGTTAGTTTTACACTGACAAATTTATCTTTTCATCAAACAGACTTTTAACTGTAATGGATGCAAACACAAATTCTAATAAAGTATATATTTTTTTATCAAAAATTCACTTGAATGTAAATATGCATTAATCTGTCATTTGTCAATAAATAAGGTAAAAATGAATTAAAGTACAAATTTACCCTGAACCAAAATTTACACTCCAAATTTACATCATTTTCAAACGCAGCCTAAGGGAAGATTGGTAATTTTAAGATCGTTTGAATTGTGATACACGGGTTTAAAAGTTAAGGGATTGACCATATAATATCTACTCTGCTCCACTTCCAGAATATTCAGACTACTCCAGAATGACTAAGGCCAGATTGTTTAACCAGGTAGGGAGTAATAGGCTAGTAGCTGTCTTGCAATCTGTTGGATTGTCATTATACTCTGAAACAGTAAAAATTTAGATTGAATCAGATGGTCAGACCAGTTTTCTGTGACCTAGATGACGTCAGCAAGCTTGGCTTCTGCTGAATCAATTGTAATCTGCTAGCCTATTTTGAGTATAATTTGTGCTTTATTTTATTTCTACCATTTCCAGCTGTAGGTGTCACGTCTAGACTCTTTTGAAACTCTATTCTCTCAACTTTTGTTAAGTCAAGTATGTCGGCAAAGTTAGGCTAATTAAATGGCTGATGAAAAATGTAAAACATTATAAAAATATTT